CTGGACCTCCAGGGGCCAATGTTTAGCCTGGATGAACCTCGAACGCCTCCAGGGAGACTTTGCTGAATCAACAAACCACAAGCCGGGACAGAGCCACAGCCTCAGCCTTGGAAAGTCCACTTCACAGACTGTGTGGGGGTCAATAGCCCAGCAGGGAAGATTGAAGGACCCTCTGCTGTCTTGGGACTGCCAGGCACCAGGCCCTGGTAAGTGCGGTAGCAAAGGACCAGGGACCCTGCTGCTTGCTGTGGGCACTTGCAGGACAGCTGAGTCTCTGATTTTGGTTCCAGAGCACAGGGAAGAGCTAAAGTTTGCAGCCACCAGGACTGCAGGGAGCAAGAGCATTTGCAGGATATTGTGGGGGGGGGGGGCGGCGTGCATAGTCATGACTTAGGGGTGGAGAGGAGTACCCAAGGTTGGGCCCTGTAGACAGAGATCAGAAAATAACAGAAAAACTTGAGGCCTGGGGCACCATTCCCCACACCTCAGGACCAGAACCTGATTATAATAACAAGCTACTAAAAGCAAAATAAAAATAAAAATGAGTAGGCAAAAGAGAAAGAACCCAACAATAGACAGCTACTATGAAGGCAGAGAAAATCTGGGTTCATCATGTTCAGAGGAAGACAGTGAAGTTTAAAAAGTGACTCTTTTTTCAAAGAGAAATGCCAAACAGTCACAAGCCCAAAAAGAGTTCTTGGAAGAATTTAAAAAGCATTTCAAAATCTAATAAAAGAGATGAAAAAAAAAACTAGTAAAAAAAAAAAGAGCAATCCAAGAAAATTAGGGGGAAAATTGTAATATGTAATATTTTATTCTTCCCCAGTTACACGTTAAAACAATTTTTTAATGTTTGGGTTTTTTTTTTAATTTTGAGTTCTAAATTCTATTTCTCCCTACCTCCCTCCCCTGAGGTGGTAGGTTATGCCACATATTTTATACATAGATTATACCATATATTTTACATGCTATACACGTGCAATCATGTAAAATCATATAAAAAATTTCCATATTAGTCATTTTGTACAAGAAGACTTGAATTTTAAAAAAGAATGAAATAAAGAAAGTAAAAAATAGCATGCTTCAGTCTGTATTCAGACAATATTGGTTCTTTCTCTGGAGGCAGATAGTATGCATCATCCTTTGGGATTGTCTTGGATTATTGTATTGCTGAGAATGGCTAAGCTATTCACAATTCTTCATCAAACAATATCGCTATTACTGGGTCCAATGTTCTCCTAATTCTGCTCATTTCACTTTGCATCAGTTTATGTAATTTTTTCCAGGTTTTTCTGAAATCACCCTGCTTGTCATTTCTTATAGCACAGTAATATTCCATCACAATCATACACCACAGCTTGTTTAGCCATTCCCCAAATGATGGGCATCCCTTCAATTTCCATTTCTTAGCCACCACAAAAAGAGCTGTTATAAATAAAATCAGGAAAACTAGTCAACCAATTGGAGAAAGGGATCGAAAATCTTAAGGAAGAAAATAACTCCTTGAAAACTAGAATTGGGCAAGGGGAAGCTAACAAGAAATAATAAAAGCAAAATCAAAGGAATGAAAAAATAGAAGAGAATGTGAAATATCTCAGAAAAAACAACTGATCTGGAGAACAGATCAAGAAGAGACAATATAAGAATTGCTAGACTATCTGAAAGCTACAATCAAAAAAAGAATATTGATACAATATTGTAAGAAATTATTAAAGAAAGTTGCCCTGAAGTTCTAGAACAAGAAAGTACAGCAAAAATGGAGAAAAATCTACCAATCACCATCTGAAAGAGATCGTAGGAGGAAAACTTACAGGAATATCATAGACACGTTTCAAAACTTCCAGACTAAGAAGAAAATATGATAAGTAACAAGAAAAAAAAAACAATTTAAATACTGTGGAGCTACAATCAGGATCACACATTAACAGCTTCTACATTAAAAGATCATAGGTCTTGGAACACTGTATTTTGAAGAGCAAAGAGCAAAAGAGCTGGAGTTGAAATGAAAAATAACTTACCTAGCAAAGTTATCTTAAATTTTTAAAAAATGGTCATTTAATGAACTGAAAGACTTTTAGGCATTTGTGACAAAAAGACCAGAACTTAGTGGAAAATTCAACATATAAGATCCAGGAGAAATAGAAGGTAAACTTTAAAGACCAATTATAAGTAAGTCAAGGAGGTCAAATTGTTTACTTTTTATATGTAGAAATGTTATCAGTACTCTTATGACTGTCATCATTACTTGGGTAGTTTGAAACAAAGGCTTGGGCTGAACTGAGTATGATGGGGTGATTCTAAAAAATAGAACTGAGTAGGAAAAGGTAAAAAGGAGCAATTATCTCATACAAATGAGGTATGATACAGAAGAAGCATGTGGAAGTGGAGGGCTGGTAATACTGGAACCTTACTCTCATCAGAAATGAGTTACAGAGGGAACAACATATACAGATACAACATATGCATCTAGAAAAGTATAAAAATCTTCTAAATCTATAAAGAAATAAGAGGGCAAGGGGATGGGATAAGAGAGGGACTCTTAGAGGTGTGGATAGATTAAGGAATATCAGGGCAAGGTAGTGCTTAGAAGTAGATTCTGAGAAGGGATAGGGTAAATAGGGTGAGAAGGATGGTGAAGAAAAATAGGATGGAGGAGGAAATGCAATCAGTAATTATAATTTGAATGTAAATGGGATGAATTTTCCCATAAAATGGAAACAGCAGAATGGATTAAAAATCTGAATTCAATAATATGTTGCTTACAAGAAACACAATAAAAAATGAGAAATGCACACAGAGTTGAAATAGAGGGCTGGAGGAGAATTTATTATGCTTCAGCTGATGTTAAAAAAAAAAGCAGGGGTAGGAATCATGATCTCAGACAAAGTTAAAGCTAAAATAGATTTAATTAAAAGAGATAAATAGAGAAACTATACTATGTGTCACCAATAGTATTTAATATTATTTTAGACCATTTAAAATAACTGTAGACAGTATAAAATACCTGAAAGTAAACTTGCCAAAACAGATCCTGGAACTACATGAACATGATTACAAAACATTCTTCATACAAATAAAGCTAAATGTAAATAATTAGAGAAATATTAATTGTTCATGGGAAAGCACAGCCAATATAATGAAAATTAAAATTTTACCTAATTTATTTATTTAATGCCATCCCAATTAAATTATTAAAAAGGTATTTTACTGAGTTAGAAAAAATAATAATTCATTTGGGAAAAAAGATCAAAAATTTCAGAGAAACTAATGAAAAAATATGTAAGGGAGGAAAGGTCAGCAGTACCAGAACTCAAACTATATTATAAAACAAAAAATATCAAAACTATTTTGGTACTATCTAAGAAATAGAAGGGTAGATCAGTGGAACACAGTAGACATACAAATGATTATAGTAACCTTGTGTTTCACAAATCTTAAGAATTAAGTTTGGAGAATAAGAATTCATCATTTGGTAAAAGTTGTTAGGAAAGCTGGAAAGCAATATAACAGAAACTGGATGTAGACCAAATACGGTATCTTAAACCATATACCAAGGTAAGTTCAAAATGGGTACATGACCTAGATATAAAGAGAGATATCACAAGAAAATTAGAAGAACATGGAACATATTTACCTATCATACTCATGGAAAGGAGAACAATTTATGAAGAAACAAGAAGTAGAGAGTATTGTGAGATATAAAATGGATAATTTTCATTATATTAAATTTAAAAGTTGCTTACACAAATAAAACCAGTACAGCCAAAATTAGAAGGAAAGCAGAAAATTTGAGGAAAAATTTCATAGACAAACTCTCAGATAAAAATCTCATTCCTCAAATATATAAAGAACTTTGTTAAATTCATAAGAATACAAGTCATTCCCCAACTATAAAACAGTCAAAAGATTTGAACAGGCAGTTTTTTAATGTATATGTGTGAGTATATATGCACACATATATAACTACACACCTACATATACATGTACACACATATATAAAATGTTCTAAACCACTATTGATTAAACAAATGCAAATTAACTTTGAGATATCATGTTACACCTATCACATGGGCTAAAATGATAGACACTCTTCAATTGGGGAAAGGCTAAAAAGTTGAGGTATATGGCTATGATGGAATTCAACTGTGATATAAAAAAATGATAAGTTGGTTGATTTTAGAAAAACATGGAAAGACTCGGACCTATGGAGGAAGAAGCTATCCACCTCCAGAGGAAGAATTAACAAATAGAAATATGCATAGTAACATCTTAGATATATTCATGTGTAAAAGCTGAGTAGCTTTGAAAAAAATGGGTATTATTTATTACATAATTTTTTTAAAAAGTAAGCAGTCTGAAATGGAAATTTATGGTTTTATATTGAATCCTCTATGTTCTCTTGTATACATGGAAATTTTTTTTCTCATTTTGTATTTGTTTAAAATGAATTTAAAAATTTTTAAAAAGAAAAAAATTAAAAATCATCACCATTAGATTCATCAAGCTCCCAGTTAGGGAAATCCCTAATATTCAAAGATTCAGATCTATTAAATTCAGGTTATTTCTAGATAATCTCTGGTATCCACTTTTGCATTACCTGTGTGCAATTAAAGACTGATGCATCAAAAGTACCTGAAGTCAGTCTTATCTTTATCTAGAGAAAATTGGCTTTAAAGGACTATTTAAATTAGCAAAGATAAAAGTTAAAAGAAGAGAAAAGTTCTAGATTTAAATATCTATCTTATCAGATGGAAAAGAAAATGGGGCAGGAGAAAATAGAAAGAGATACTTCACCCACTGCCTGAATTTTCAGCCAGGGGAAAGTTCACCAGCAATCAGGCCTGGCCAACATTCTGATCACAGCTTTCCTGTCTGCCTCTGGTGGATGAAGATGCCAGCTGCCTTCATGGATCTCAGGCATGTACAACACTATCTCCCCCATGTGGAAATAAATTTTACAGAATTTCACATATGATAGGTATTTCTTACCTTCTCGATGAGTGGGGGAGGGGTGGAAGGAGGGAGAGAATTCAGAGCTGAAAATAAAAATTAAAAATAAATATTCTAAAAATATAATTGGGAAATAGTCAACAAAAATAAATAAAAATACAATAAAACATCTGCTTCACTTTTTTCTCTTCACTTCCAGCCACTCTGTCATCTTTGAGTCTATGTCCACTCTGCCTTAGAGGGATTCAAAAAGTTCACATCAGAAATTTGGCCCTCCGACTCAGACTCCACAACAGATCCCCAGCCTTTTGCAGAAAGAGAATTCTACTACCTGCAGGATTACAAATCCCAGGATGTTTCAGAACAACTTCCTCTCTCCACAGAGACCTAGTCTGATTTTGTTTGAATATCCTGTATATAGGATATTCATACAGTAAGAATCACTGTTAGCACTTTTCTAACTCAAAAGTAACTTCTTATTGTCTACCAAATAAAGTTAAAATTCCTTTACCTGAAATTCAAAGCTCCCTACAATCTATTACTGCCCTCTTTATTTTATCTCATATTAATCCCCTTCCACACACTCTTTAAACTCCAGCCAAACTGTATCACTCTCTTCCCCCTAAAATGACTGACTTCCATGGCTCGATGCCTTTACTCACATACTTACAATGTCTTCCCATTCCCTCTTTACCTACCAATGCTCTAAAGCCTAATTTGAATGCCACCACACCCATAAAGTCTTCCCTGATCCTGGAAGGACCTTCTCCCTCAAACCTTGCATGGCACTTTGTTTTGCTAACTCTGTAATTCATTCATGAAGGAATGGATATTACAATACTCTGTGTTTTGGTCTCATACCCCTACTAGAATATAAACTCCAAGAGGAAGGTTATCTTATTTAAATTTTTTATCTCCCTCCATGGTATCTAGCAGGATGCATTGCTTAATAAATGTTTGTTGATTGAAAGACTTCATAAATGACTTTACACTCTGTTGGAGAATATATATAATATTTCTTCAGAGAAGTCTGGAACAGTGCGTTGATAACACTGATGGAATGATGCCTGAGACGACAGCGGAAAAGTGGCATTCACAGAGGGAACATGGGCTCAAGGAATGCATTTTCATTCACACCATTGCGTTCCCAGTAGTTATGCCTTACTGCACTCCTGACCTAGGGGAAGGAAGGGTGAAATGTTTTACAAGTTCTATCATACAGAAGACCTAGGACCTAGATCCACCAAGTTAAACCAGGGGAAATTGACCTCTTTTGTGTCTCTGTATCTCCAAGTGCCCAGCTCATCATAGGTGCTTAGTGCTGAATTTAATTAAATTACATGTTTTCCTCATCACAGAAGAATGTGGAGACTTGAAAGGATGCAATCTCCAGAAATTCAGAGAAAAGAAAAAGAGCACTAGATAGGCTGCGATTTTACATTTGACCACAAGATGGAGGTAGAAGAATGTTGAGTGTCCACTGATGAGTCCAAAAAAAAAAAAAAACCCCTATTAAGAGCTAATCAAGATGAAGTGGATTTTGTGAAGTTTTTCGCCTCTGCTTTCTCCACATTGCCAACCTCCTCTACATTTCACATTGTCCTACCCCTTTTGATTAAAGTGATCTTGAACCTAAGTGTTTTTTTTAATATTTTGGATTTTTCCCCAATTACATGTAAAAGCAATTCTTACGCTCGTTTTTAAAAAATTTTCAAATTCCAGATTTCCTTTCCTCTTTCCCTCTTCTCCCTGCCTCCAAAATTGAGAAGGCAAGCAATTTCATATAGGTTATACGTGTGCAGTCAAGCTAAACATATTTCTATGTTGTGAAAGAAAACACAGACAAAAAAAACCAAGAAAAATAAAGAAAGCAAAGAAAAAGTATGCTTCGATCTGCAATCAGACTCCATCAGTTCTTTCTTCAGAGATGGAGAACATTTTTCATCATAAGTCCTTCAGAATTGTCTTGGATCATTGCATTGCTGAGAATAACCAAGTCATTCACAGTTGATCATCATATAATATTGCTTGTTACTATATACAATGATGAACCTAAGTTTTAAACAAAATTATTTTACTTATTAATTCAACTGGGGGCAGCTAGGTGGCGCAATGGATAGAGCACTGGCTCTGAAATCAGGAAGACCTGAGTTCAAATTCGGCCCCAGACCAAATGCTTGACACTTACTAGTTGTATGACCCTGGGCAAGTCACTGAACCCCAATTGCCAAAAAAAAAAAAAAAGCAAAACACTTATTAATTCAACTGTAGCATGTAGTTCATTTTCTTGTATTTTCACTGTATTTGCTAACCCCTCTTATTAATTACTCTTATTAATCATCCCCTCTCATTAATTACTATTAAGAGCATTTTCCAAATTGGAAGTTTCAAGACATAAATTATCATCTCGTCTTTTAACAATTACAGGTTACTTGATAAGTTCTGCATTTTTACAGTCTGTCCCCTAGTTACTCACTTCCCCTTGCAGTAAGGTAAGGATTTGTACATAGTGGATATTCAGAAAAAGGCTGGTGTTTGAGTAACTGACTAACTTCTCTTCTCCATTTGAGAAACATAGACATGGAATTAGAACAATCTGAGTTGCCTCAAGGTGGAATGGGCTGCTTGGGTAGGGGTCCAGAGTAACGGGCTGTACTTCATAGAAGTGTCAAGGAAAGGCTGAATAACTGAGCACTCATTGGGTGTAATGCAGCAGGGATTCTTTTCTGGTATGGTTTGGATTCATGGATCACTGGAGTCCCTTCCATTTCAAGATTCTGATTCTTTGAGTAATTGAGGCTTGCCCTAACTCCTGAAAAGTTTAATTGTGCCCATTTCAAATCAACAGAAACCTTGTCCAAGGTTCACATAATACTAGTCCAAGAGAATCGGTAATAAATTTAGTCTTACAATGCAAGGTTTCTGAGTTCTAATCCTGTTTTCAGGGCCAGCGTGAGGTATATACACTATCCAGGATTAAAAATCCCAGATCTCCCATTTACTCTGCATCCTTAGGCAAGTCACAGTTCACCTTTGGTTGAAGTTATCCCTTCCTTATTATAGCTATGGGAACTCTGGTTTTCCTTTGAAGCATACTGTGGCTGGTATCAGGTCTCACTAAGTCATTCTGTAAATTAGAACAAATGCACATTTCTTTATTTACGAATTCTTGTTCCTTTTTACAAACTCTTGACAAATTTTCTAAGCTCCATAAGAGAAAAAAAAAAAGCACTTGAAGGTATAAGGCATATTATTTTTAGTCCTTTGTTATTAATTAGTTGTCAATAACAGGACGTCTTGATTCATTGTCTAGATTAGAGCGCTTCTTAAACTGTGGGTTGCCACCCTACATAGGATGGTAACTGAACATGGGGGTTGGGAAAAATTTGGCAACAGTAAAAGGTTTCTGAACACACAATGACCAAAATATCAGTATCAAATATGCTGCCAAGATATAATTCTTTACGTAAAAATAAACAAGCACATCCATCTCAACAGTATGCAGATTTGATAATAAATGGTAAAATTATATGTATGCCAAAGAATTGTTTTAAAATAAATTTCTTTATGATATATTATCAGTAAATGTTTGATTTGTATGCCTATTTTATATACCTATATACCTGGAGTAGTATAAAAATTTCTCAGGTGAAAAGAGGTCAGGAGTGGAAAAACTTTAAGAAGCCCTGGACTGGAATACAAAATAAGGTTTCCTCATTCCTGTTAACTTAGAATTTTTGAGGAACTTTCACATGAAACTCCTTTTTAGCCACTTGAAAGTCATGGAGTACAATAACAAGATAAGGTATTGTTCCATTCATCAAGATAGGCAGCATACATAGAGTTAAAGTTCTTTCTCTGAATAGTGGCTGTGTGACTATGCACTAATTACTTGACTTCTAAATACTCTAAGTATTTCTCTAAAATTATAAGTTAGTTCTAGAGAGCTGCTGATCTGCATTGGCGGAGGAAATTTCCTTAGTGGGAGTATTCTACACTGATGAAATCACAATTCTAGACCAAAAAATAAAAATCCTGCTGGTTTGAATGTTACTGAAGTGATTTTCTGCTAGAGTCAGGAGACTCAAATTATAGGCTTACTATATTAATGCAAATATCAACATTATATTTCCCTATGGGATTAGTAAATAGAGATATTAGCAAGTCAAGAAATATAGACCATAAGGTTGGGGGTTTTTTTGGATGAGAATAAACTAGCCCTACTTGCACATAGGGTATTTGAAAATTTGCAAAGGCCCTGTTAAGTATTTTTGCGCGTAATTCATTAGAGGTTCATTAGTATTTCTAGCATATCACCCTGAACTGATCTTGCATCTCACTTACATTCAACTTTCTTTTGGACACCAGAATATGTGTGGATGAGGCTATTGCTCCCAGTTGACGGAAAATTCCCATGAATCCTCTGCACATGCCATTTATGTATAGTACCACTTCTGACCCCAACCTCCTGCTTCCCCTCTTGGCTGGAATCAAAGTCTCCCTTGGAAAAGGGTGGGGAGGGGCAGCTAGGTGGTATAGTGGATAGAGCTCTGACCTTGAAGTCAGGAGGACCTGAGTTCAAATGTGACCTCGGACATATGATACTTACTAGCTGTGTGATCCTGGGCAAGTCACTTAACCCCAATTGTCTCACCAAAGAAGGGGAAAAAAATGGCCTTAGAAAAGTAGGAAGAAAAGACTGTAGAGGTATCTATTCTCACCTCCCTGCAAGACACATCTAGACAGTCCTTCATGGACAAAACAACACTGCACACATCCTCCTCCTTACATACACTATATTGTTATTCCTTGATTACATGCAGGAGTGGCCATGTAGGCTCAGAAAAGCGAAGCAAGCACTTCCTAGAACTCCTGGGTCCAAAGCAACTTGTGTAGTTTCTGGAGATTTCTAAAGTACTAAAGAAGCTGAGGAATAAATGTTTTATTGTGCACTGTTTTATTGTTATTAGGTATTGGTTAATTGCTTTTATTGATTCTATGCCAAGAGTAAAACATTTGGTGCAGTTAAACATGTTTTGTCCATGCAGAGAGCCAACTCCATTATTACAAGGTCATATAGCTATAA